CCAAAGAATGTCTCCGAATGTTGAAAATAACTTTTCAAGTTATTTTCACTGATAAGTTGAGAAGGATTCTTCATTCTTTCAAGTAGATCTTCTCTTCCTTGAATTAGAGCATTCCTTCTCACATTCGATTTAATTTGCGAGAAGACCTTCTCGCAGGGGTTCAGAAAAGGAGAATACCTTGGTAAGGAATGTATCTCGTATGGAAACGTGTCGTAGAATTCCTGAATGGAATGGTGGAAACCAACATTGTCCATAACAACGATGTATTCCTCCTCATCGTCAAGAATATCTGGAAGGGCTGCCAAAAAATTTTTGAATACATTTCCATCTACGCTACCAAGCACTGCTTCGCGGCTAATGACGTTAACTGCATTGACATCGAGGATCATAGTTATATTAGGTCTTTGACTGTTTTGGATCCGGTTTTGATTTCAACAGATCCGGTTTTGGGGAAAAAAAACCGGTAGGTAAAAGCACAGACATGTGTGTTTTGCCGATCCTGCGCTGCTGCATGACACAGTTGCGAGGGCTTCGGCAGCCTGTTGGCTGAGCTTTAAAAATTCGAATATTTCCCAGGAGGCGAATCTGTAACGCTGGGGGACCCACTAATGAACCGAAATCCTTTTAGATGTGTAATGCAGTGGCAAAATGTCGGCGAAACAGGTGAGCGGCCCCTTTATGTACGCTGACTGTTTACAAGTTGCTCATCGATATAAACCGGCAGATCGCACCATCGTGCTCGAGCTCATTAAAAACGGATTTTCAGGCCTTTGCCCAGTGGTGTCGCGTATGGCGCCTTTCCCTTTCTTGGCAGAAATTCTCCATTATGGCTCTTGGCAACGATCACCAGCTCGAACTAAGCATAGATGGTCACGGCATACATTTGCCCGGACATATCATATTCTAATAGTCTTAAGCTGTCAGAGCACTGCGCCCTGACTGTCTCGAAGGCACGCCGAACTACCGGATAGATTTTCAGAAATTTTAAGACCATCAAGGCCCATACGAATAGCATCGTATCGGTCCGTTTATTAGTACTGCTTGATAAAAAAACGTGGTCCGCATTCATTGCAATGCATCGCATCAATCATCAATCCTCCAATACGATGTCTTTTTGATGACGCCGTGATCATCATTTTCTCCGACCTACGTACTGCTGCCTTTGACTTTCAGGTTGTGAAGAAGCTGCTCGCGTCGCTGGACCTGAAGCCTTCGAAAGTTAAACTTATTCACAAGGGACCGTGTTTTATTAGTTTTCGGTAAGAAATGCACCACCTTTTCTTATAGCTTTTACTCTAAATTTAAATTTCATAAGCAATAAAGGTTTTTTTGGCTCCGCTGCTCGAATCTTGTGTGTAGTCCTCGTCTTTCGGTCTGAGCCTCGCCTATTCTTATTTCAACCAATACATCTGAATCCTAAAAAAATGTGTTAACTTGGCCTCATTTGATTTTTACCCTTTTTTTCCTCCACCGGACACTTTCGTCAAGATCCTCGGAAGATCGCGATCAGGCTGTGGCAAAGCTGAATGGCCATGTCTTCAAGGGTTTGACCCTTAAAGTCCGCGTACGTTTCCTACCTCCCTATGAACTTCCTTCACATTAACTTGCTTACTCTCTGTTAAACGACATTACCGCTGTGTGTCCGCACGCTGCTGTTTCGGTTTCGTTCCCGATCTAAATCGGCGAGGCAACGAACCCGTGCCTCACTGGTTAGAGCGTTAGACTTCTGATCAACAGGCTGCGGGTTAGAGCCTCGAACGGTGCACCACCTGGGGTTGGGTACGACTGGCTGATGACGACTAATGAGCCATAAATGGTCACTCCAGTTCCCCTTGTCTTTGTCGGCATGATAAATCTGTAACGGGACCCGTTTCTGCTGTTGCTCATGTCCTGATGAAGAATCCGCGACAGATATCGAAACTTCAGGCGAATAAAAGTGTTGTCCCAGCGATCAAATCGTCTTCTTCTCAAGGTTAATCTTTTTCGGTTTCCTTCTTAGTCTTCCGTTTTACAGCCTTCTACTACACTAAGTCAGACTTACGATCCTGACTTTTTCATTAATTAGGTTGCTCGTCCAGCGGCCGACCCGGTGCTTCTGAAGCGAGCGCAAGAAGCTGATGAGGCATGCAATACACCAGCAGAGAAGCGAGCCAAGATAGATGAGACACAACCCGAGTCTTCCCCAATCCAAGTCAAGTAAGTTCTAGAGCATTTCGTTGGGTGACCTTTGCTGACTACAACAGACCAACCTCTATCTTCACTTTTAACAAATCGTATTGTTTTTTGGGAGGGGATGGTGCACCAATTTGTCTGCCTTGACGCCACAGACATTTTGTGCTTATAATCGGTTGCAGCATCGAGGTCTTTTTGTATGTAGGCAGCGCCCGCTAACTCGGGGTGTGGGTTCGGCAGGCTTTTGGCGAAATGTTTTTCGAAGGTATGCTGGTGACATCAATGTTTTCTTAAAAGTCTTCCGTGCTTAGCTACAACCGTGTGTATCACAGACACACAAAGATGGCCTTTTGGAAATGCTTTAATCAAACTTGTTCTTGCGATGAAATGAATGCACTTTTCGGATCAGTGAATAAGCCTTACGCATAAATTATGCATAACTACATTTTTACCGGGACCAGCCGAACGGGAAAACGTGTCCTCATCCTGCTATGCTGTTTTTTTGCTCTCAGAGGTTCAATCCCCAGGATATTTGTTATTCAGGCTTTGTGCGATAACCGTCATCAACCGCTCTTCAACAACAGACTCATTGCTGTCCTTCTTCAGTCATCTAGATTCAGTTGCACCGTTATGGCGTCTAGCCTACGACCCAGATCAAATCCAGGCAAAGCAAAAAACTGCCCTTTCCCACCTGGCCAAATTACGTTCGGCCGTCCGCAAGGTGAACACTTTCCGACACTGTGATACTTGCCTGCGGTCAGGGTAAGTTTTTGGTCTGGCTACCCCTGTTTGAACTAATTGTCTTTTGGTTTCTTTTAGTACTTCGAAAATTGTCCTTCCCAATCGTTTTCTTGTTCTCTTTCCTTCCCTGTCATTTTTCATTTCATTTTCATTGCTCATCCGACACATACTGCCAAACAGCAGATTGACGGCTTGCAAAATGCGCCTTCCTAAAACTGTGGATTTTCTTCAAATTTTAGCTTGATGTCTTCCAAGTCTGTACCGCTAACTGAAGCATTTTGCCCTATAAATCGATCGGTAAGCTTAAGTTGTGATCATACTCTCCTGTTTGACCGCACTGTGCCTTTGTTTTATTTTAAAGTACGAACTGATCTGCTGTATTATATCTAAATCTAGCCAGATCTTCTATCAGCCATTCTAAAGTAGCTGAAAATAATTTTATGTCAGTCTAGATGGCTAGGCGGCATTTTCTCCAACTCAATTAACCGACAATGCATAATTCCATAATATTGGGGGATATTTCAGATCTTTTATAGCATCTTCCATACCTGCATACTTCTATGGCCCCGTAAGCCGGACGTAAGATTAGGAATAGCGTGCAATACAAATTTCAAAGGGGCTTTCTTGTGAGGCCGCCTAATGGAAATCGGCTTCCTTTATTAACCAATATTCCGCCTAATGGTCAACGGGGTTGCTCTAATTGGTTTTTTGGTCTAGATGTTTCTTTTATTAACCAATAGGGTTGCGCTATTATTCTTTCTGGTCTGCAGACTGCCTTTTCACCTACCATTTTATTTAAGTAAAACAATTGCAAGTGGCTTTGATTTATTTTCTACTGTGCATTAATCAAGCATTAAACCTTTAGTCACGAATTCCGTAAGACACTTGGGCGGGAAGATTTATTTTCAGGCGGCCTCACAAGACAGCCTTCTCCAAATTTATTTGCATCCTCCTGTAGGGAAAATGGGACTAAGTTTGTAGTAAGGGTTAGACCTAAGGTAAGCGTTACAGTAAGTTAGGATTAAGATGAGGGCTAAGACTGAGGTTTTCGCTAAAGCTAGTGCTAGGGTAGGACACGAGATTCTTTACTTTTTCTCGGGTTATGCTCAGACCCACGTTTATTTCTTGGGTGGGACGTGTCTATTCCCGTGTTCTACTTAAGACCTCATACAAGTCATACTCACCCGAAAGCTTTTCTTGTCAAACATTGCCGCCCTTAAACATTTTCTGCCTATGAGACTGTTATTTTTGAAAACGCTTAGTCGCTCATGGCCTTCTTTATCCCAGCATGTCTTACCACCCCTGTAGCCCGTCGAAACCGGTTATCGCAACAAGGCCGAGTTCACCATCGGACAGGACGGTGAGGGCAAAAGCAAGTGATACACTCGTTTACCACTAATGTTAACACCTCAACAGGTCCAGTTGTCGGCTGTCGACTCGGGAAGTACTGCAAGGGTTCTACCAGGGTTGCCAGTCCCAGCGGTCTGCCCATATTTTCCGACTCAATTCTGCGTGTGGTCTGTCACCTACAAGGGCTCCTTGACTTCATCTCGAATCCAGAGGCTTTTCCCGATCACCCCTTTGTGGTTTCGCCTCCCGCTCGTGCTCTCAGCGAGACGTCTGAAGGAGAAGAAAAGCAGACTTCTCTGAAAGATCGAGCCTTAGCACTATCACGGAAACTGCGCACTTATGACCTTGTAGCGAGAAGTGGACACTGGAGCTCGGCGATGGTTCGAGAGACACGACTGAATGACAGACTGCTACGGGTGGAATTGCACCGTGATAACCTGACTGATGTGAGTTTGGTCTCTGTACTCAAAATGATGTTTCTCAATGCATCTTACGCCCTTTCTCTCCGTTCTACAACATTTAAACTTTATCCGATTTACTCTGACTTAGGAATTTTTAAATATCTGTAGGTGAGACCTGGAAAAAACCAGAAAGTTAGTTCTCGCTCATGTTTACCTAGTTTTCTTCGGCCAGTCCCTACTGTTTGAGGTCCTGATGAACGTGGCAGCTTAGACGGAATAAGTGTTAGTGAAGCCTGCCTTGGAAGAACAAATTCACCGAGTCGGATACTGGCCAGATTGGCTGAAAAAAAGGTTTAATGATCTATCCTTCCTCTTCTTCTTCTTCTTCTTCTTCTTCTTCTGAGCTCCAGTTCTCTTCAGTACATGCAATGTCTTGCATTTGACATCTCCTTAGTTCAAGTTTCGAATGGCTTTACTTGAGTTTCGTTCTCAAATTTTCAGAAAAATTCCTCCCCCCCCCTTTGACCGAGCTGATCTAGCTGCAACTGTCTGTATGGCGGGTCTATTGTCAGAATTTAAACTATTTCATACGTCGAAAATGCAATTTTGTTTTCTTGCGATCATCCCAAGATTCCTCCTGCCTCGTACTGCTGTTTTCCACTGCATATTGAAAGAGTGCATTGCGGTTGGCGTTTAAACCGAATCGGACATGATTACTGATGTGCTTTTACCTAGGGAGAAACCTGTGTTAATTCTTCCGATATAAGTTTCACACTGTGGCCTTGTCAGTCCTTCTTGTAATCGTTTTACATTGCGAAACAAAACGAAACCTACAAGAAATTACACACTTCGCACGAATAAACAATCTAGCCCGTCAGTTAACAAGAGCTAATCAAAACATCCTTCGGCCGCAAAAACCAACGCTGTGTTACGTGTTCCTGAAGCAGTTTAAATGTAACCGCTTAGGGTAATAAGCAGCGGTCTTCTGCCACTATATCCAAGTTATCTGTTTCGTCCAAGAGTCCAGCGGTGACTTGAGTCGTCCTGTCTCCTACCACCCATGTCTACCAATTTTGCTTTTTTTCTTCTCATTTTTTACATTATCTTTTCGACCTCCAAAACAGGCTGAACTAAATGATCTGCAGGAAATAATGAAGGCTTGGTTCAGTCCCGGTGGACCTGGCGAAGCGGCTCAACTCTCTTCGCTCTGTCTGTCCGTGCTCTCAGGGTGAGTCTTTCCAAATCGTTCTTCAATGTAATGTCTTGCTAACCGAAATCCTTCTGCAGATGATTGACTACCGACAAAGGAAAGAGTGACTGGAATGACCATTTATGCCAGCTAGCCATACCCAGTTCCAGGTGTGGAACACCCGAGATTCGAACCTGCGATCTTTGGTCATTGCGTGCAACACAGCACCACGGGCCCGTTGATTTGTCGATCGGAAGTATGATGATAGTATGGGGCTCACCGATCTGCCTAGGGAACATGCATGTCCCGTTGTGCCTTGAAACTCACTTTAGAGGCCTCGCAGACAGCCGCATAGCGACTTGTAGTGTTTTATGATAATAAAGGGAAACCAATAAAGACAAGAGCGACTGGAATGATCATTTCTGGCGTACCAGCCGTACTAAGCAAGTCATACTCAGTCCCAAGTGTGGGGCACCTGGAATTTGAACTTGCGGTTCCTGATCTTTGAGTCAAACGCTCTACCAACGTGCCACTGGTCTGTTACCTTGTTCGGAACTCCATTGTCTGTATACGTTATTGGTCGCTGTGCGACTACGTGCAAAGACTCTCCATTTAGCCCCAGTGTAAAACGGGACGAGAATGTTCCGTAGCTTGGTCGGCGAGCAGCACGCCATCATGAGACTCCTTCTGTCTCTATGTTTCTTGGGAGTCAGGTTTCATATTTGCAAACCCTGGGGAGCAGTTTATGCCATTGCTTGAGGATCTTACATCGTCACTGAAATGTTTCACCCAAAAGAGTAGTCAAGTGAATTGTAGAAGTAAATTAACCGGGCTGTGTCTGCCCCTGTTACACTAAATGCGGTCAGCTTATTTTATAGATTGCTTTTTCATATTTTCCTAACCTTATGTGATGTGATCTGCTGAACTGACAAGTGCCTATAAAGTGCCATGTTTGTTTTTATAAACTTTTCATCCCGAGGCTGGCTTCATTGCCCCTGTGCAACTTCGTTGCTAGTATTTATTACCTCACTTGGAAAGTAATTTCACACTTCTGTCTTGGTTTCAAAGGGTATCTCGTGCACCTGGAAGTTTTACCGACAATATTGTCTTTGGCAATGGCGTAAGTTTTCACTACAAATTCTTTCAACCTTTTCTTTCTTCACTTTTCCGATTATTTTATGCATGAATATGCTGTTTTTGTTTATTATTTTTGCACCATTTCTCTTTTTCTTTATTGGCCTTGTTAGACACTGACAGAACTATGTTGCGGATTGAAGTTTGCCATCTCAATGGACGCCTTCTTCCAGGGTAAGTCATTATCAGCCCAATCAGAGAAGATTGCTAACGGAGTTTATTAACGTCATAGAATTTGCGGTCACGGATATGGAAAATCAGATTGTCTCTCTGACAGCGGCGAACATAGCGTATATTAATAGAGGGCTTTGGCAGATTTGAATGACGCAATTTGACCGAATTGTGGAAAGCTCGGCGGCCTCGGTGGGATTCGAACCCACTCTGGCAAGGGGAAGACTTTAGTACAGCCAACGCTCCCGCCAACTGAGCTATGAGACCTCCACCGGGAGCCGTGGGTTGACTTAAACACCGTCTGCTGCAAAGTATTGAATCAACTAATTATGATACAGTAAGGCGACTGCCCAAGCAGAATTTCCTAAGCAATCAATCTAGAGTCCACCAGATGACTACCGGGCAAATTTTTAAATAAAGGGTTTGGGTGTATGGAACGCGTCTTCTAAGCATATTTGGATGATTGTGTGTTCATTCCGAAGAGAGCGAAACCGTCGACTTATTCGACGGACTAACCCCACGAGGCGGGCGAAGGAGGATGTGTCCAACACATTTCTCAAATGACCCCATTCTCGCGGTTCTCTTGCAACGGTTAGAGGTTTCGGTACTAGAGGAAACATGTGCTTCTCAAATGTTCCAGTCGTTCGCCATGTGATCAATCCGACTTCAACAAACAAGGAGGAAAAGTATTCGGATATTCAGGCTCCTACGGGGATTAAACTTTCAACACAGACCCATAGACATCTGCGGAACCTAACAGAAACATTATTCTGGACCGATTTGTTGACGATCTTGCCCTTGCTATTTCTATCTGTGAGCATATTAGCCTTCCAACAAGTAAAAGGAAATTTCCAGTCAGTTCAATATCCCTTTCTCGATAATGCTTTCTTGAACTTACTCTTCGCCGTTGAGTAGGAAATTACCCAATTTCCCCCCTCCCCCAAATCCAATAAGAGTGCATGGACCATAATCTGCCACTCAGCCTTGACTCAGCAGATAATATTTGCTGCCAACGACTTGTAAGGGGTGTCTCCTTGTAGGGCCTGGATTCAAAGATGGAAGTATCTATTCGCCTCATCGAGCACACCAGTTCATGGGTGCCAGAGAGTGCCATACAGTGTGCTTATTAGATGACGGTTAACGTTCGTTGTACATACTATTGTTGTGACTTGTGCACCTTTTGAGATGCCCGATTTTGCCCAATCAGCTCTCATCTACGTCGCCGCCGCATTGATAAAAACCAACTATTTTCCAGACGCCAAAGTCTACTTACTGTGCACTAGGTTCAACCCGAAGGCTGTCTAAATACCCCCCACTTGTGGACGTGTCGCGTAACCTTCCTCCTGATATTACTTTAGTAAGTAAAAGTTGTCACATTAAGTTATTTGGCTGGACCCGCATCCATGTGTGTGGGCTCATCACCACAACCAGGCTCCTTAAGTAATTCAGGTGGGGACCTCTGTCAACCAATCAGGTGAGTGGCCGCCTACTTTTTTAGAATTCTACTGTCACTGCCTTTGCACTTCTTTAGTCACGGCTTCTACAATTCCCCGGATTTCAGAAGCGCTGGCCTCGAGGAGACTCTATAAGCCCTGGTTTCGTAAGACGTTCCTTCAGCACAGGAACTTATGTCTTTTTAGCTAGAAGCATCAGCACATTGAGTTTGAAGTGAAACACCGTGTTTGCTATAAAAAATCACCGTAAATCACAGAACGTGTTCGTTAATAATGCCTTTGCTCCCTATCGCCAGTCCCCACCTCTCCTTCAATATCTTAAAATCGCCCTCTTTAGTGAACACACCGGCTGCTGAAATCCTATACAAGGTTATCAAGGAGCAGTGTCTCAGCCTCTTCGCTCCCCCGAAGGCCTCTGAGGCCCCTGCCACCAAGATTCAGAAGATTGATGCTGTTCTGTTGGACATTTGTTGTGGCACGGGCACGATCGGTCTTTGTCTCACTGAGGTAGACGTTAACTTGGTTTCAGACCCGCCCCCCACCCCTTCGTGCTAACGCAGTGCTTTCTTCTGGTCCGTAGTTCTTTACTTATAGTCTCTAGGGTCAACCTTTTGTCACTGTTTATTGGCATGTTCTTCCTTTTACTTGTAATTTACACAGACCTCGTCGTTACCATTCATGCCATGTATGCTAACGTTTCTTCGAATCAACAGGTTATAAACCGCATTACTATCGATTGCTAGTGGTAATTATCTTTATTATAACGCATGCATGCCCCTCCCCCCTTACGTTTTCAAGGACAACATGCTGCAATTCTAACTAAGTGGTTTTATTATCAAACGATTCGTTAGTGAAAGTAATCTCTATCATTTTTTGCTTTTAGAGCTTCGAAAGTGTCGTCGGCATAGAACTAGTGCCCGCAGCCGTCGAAAATGCAAAGCACAACGCTGAACTTAATGGTGAGTGTGGCGGTTGTTTTTCGAATGAGCTCCTAGACTTACCTGCATAAGTGGATAGTTCAATATTTTCCGTGAAGTGTACAAGTAGATCCAAAATACTGCTCGGGAGAATCCAAACACTTCTAACCACACTTCGCCACCAATTGTTCCTGTAAGAATAGACGACCTGTTGGACAGTTTTGTGAAATTTTCCTGCAAACTCTAGCATCCCTTCAAAACTGAGCCCAGTTGGAAATTTGAAAGGCTGAACCCGACTTGCCCTGGGTGTCAGCTTGGTTTTATTGTTGAAGGTTTTACCAGTTAAGATGCTCCTTCAAAGCCCGTGAATGTAATCCATGCCGTACTCTTTGTTGCTTACGACTACCGATTTTGACCACACACCACTGTTTGGTTGTCGTTGCAAATTTGAAATGATTTGTAAGTTGGCAGCTTACACAACCTGGGCCGATACCAATACGAATCTCAGCGTTTATTTTGGGTTTTGTCCCATTACTAGCATAATCAATGTTTGTTCGAAAACTGCGGTTTATATTTCCCCTCTGGCGAACCGAAACTTACTTGTTAGGTGGTTTACAACTCGGCTGTTCTTATTTAAAGGTTGCTGGCTAAGGCATCATGAGATCTAAACATTCGTCATCCCCTATCCGAAAAAATTGCCTTTCACACACTTTCTACTCCATTCTATTGCGCAGTGAAAATTTGCGTACAGGATTGTCTCTGGCTCGACCGCGTTTTTGTGACTCTTTTTAAAACCGCCCTTTTTGCTCATATATTTCCAGTTTCAGAAACTCATTGCAATTACTGAAGGAAATAAGCATCGCAAAGACTTCCTGTGGTAGGAAGTGGCGAGCACTAAATTGCTTACTTATAAGCGATGGGGAAATCACGCTGTAAAATGACACAATGCAAAAGTAATCTAACTGATATTGTCTGAACTTGCGTCGTGTCCCCTACCTATGAGATGTCGCAGCCTAGCCCGCCATCTGTTAGCTCTTCATGTCCCATATTCCACCCTACTAAGATGCTCTTGTCGTAATCAGCTGTGTCATGTGTCTTGCGTATTTTGGAAACAAGGTAAAGTAGCCTATTAATGCAGTCCATTCACAGGCCTCTCAGATATCGAATCCCGGAGTATAAGACGTACGTTGACCCCTGGTAATTCGAGGGCGACAGTTGATCGCTTATCAACCAACTAGCGCAGACTTGACCGTGTAAAGGTTGCCGCCGAAGTCTACGGGCTAGAGTGCTTGTCGCAGAGCAACTGCATCAGGGTTAACTGTCCAAATTTGTGACCTTTCGACTTTATGCATAGCGATTTAGTTAACTAACAGTTTATTTCGGCCTCTCAATTTCTGCCAACTCTGAACTCGACTTTCTGATTGAACTTTATCACTTTCAGCTCCTCGTGTTTATATATCCACTTTTTTTTTTGCACGCCTTTATTCAAATAGGCATGACAAACGCCAAGTTCTTGGCTGGTCGGGCCGAACTTTTACTGAACGATGCCATCCGCGGTTTGGCGCCAGACAAAAAAATTGTCGCCATACTAGACCCACCTCGTGCCGGCGTCCGTGAGTTTGTTTTGTCCTATATTGCTTGTCTTGTGCGCCTTCTCTTCTGATGCGGAAAATGGGGCGCGCATTTCTTTGCGTGTTGTCCTTACACAAAATTCATATTTGAATACAACAGAAACTTGAGCCACGAACGCTCTTTCAGGTGCGGGATGTTGAAATTAGGTAGTACATATTCGATTTTTTTGTACAACGGGCTTTTGAGGAAACCGAGTTTAAGTTATTCGCGAATTTTGAGGAGCCCTCATAAATGTTATTAGCTCAAAATCTTGGGTCTGTGAAAAGATTGGGCATTGGTCTCGGGTGATTTATTGTATTTTCTTAAGCTACCGCTGCGTACATAACTTTCTGGTGCTGCAAAATGCGGCTTACCAAGAAAAGTGTTCGCTACGAATTTCTTATAAATAACCGTGTACTAGAAAAGCTTACGAAGAAACCATATAGCCGTTTCAATGGCTGCACTTAGAAGA